CCCCAAAACCCCAAAACCCCAAAACCCCAAAACCCCAAAACCCCATGAGATGAGTGGAGATTGAAATTGTGTTACGTTGCAGAGATTAACAAATTATATTTTAACCTGTTTGTCAATTCCACCAAGTTTTAAGTCGTATGTCATTGATACAGATCTTCTCGGGGCCTCTGGAGTAAGCTTTACTAATATCATCTCTGGCTGAGGTTGATTTCCCAGAGCCTTATTGATTTGTTCTTCAAGTTCTGATGTCCAATTAGCAGCAATTTCTAAGGCTTTGAGGTTGCTTTCGATTTGAGAAAGTTTAGAAGCACCAAAGATACAGGTGCTTACATCTCGATTCACAAGAGTCCAAGCAAGGGCTAGCTCAGCCATTTCACATTTTTGTTCTTCAGCAATCTTTTGAAGTTCATCAAGCGCTCCAAATACTTGATCTTCTTTACCAGCAATCTTCATATCTAATCCACCCATTTTAAAGACTGGGTTTCTGGCAAATCTAGTGCCTTCTGGGATGACATCCTTTTTGTACTTCCCAGTGAGCAAGCCCTTGCAGAGTGGAGACCAGATGGTTGTACCGTATCCATATTCTTTAAAGAGTCTAACATAATCTTTTTCAACAATATTTCTCTCAAGCATGCTATACTCTCATTGATCCGCAATAGGCAAGTGAAGGTCAAACTCCTTACAGACACCAATTGCTCTTTCAATATAATCAGCTGGCCAAGTTGAGGTACACCAATATTTGGCATATCCTTTGTCGATAAGCCAGGAGAAGGCTCTGCAGGTCTCTTCAAGTGGAGTTTCGTAATCAGGCCTATGAGAGAACACAAGGTCACAGTAGTCAAGTCCCATTCTCTTGAGAGAATCTTTGGTGCCTTCTATGATATGTTTTCTGCTCATGAAGCCATCATTCGGGCCTGTTCCACCAAACATAATCTTTACGGAAACGACTATCCTATCTCTGTCCCATTCGAATTCTTTGATAGCTCTTCCAAGTAGGGAGTCTCCTTTACCACCCCCATACATCTCTGCTGAGTCAAAGTAGTTGACACCAGCATCGTAGGCAGCCTTGGCGCATTTCAACCAGTTCTCCTGATCTTCCTCAGTATATTTGGCAAGCATTGTGCCAAATGAGAGGAGAGATACCTTAAGGCCAGTGTTGCCAAGGTGTCTATAAATCATTTTGCTTCCTAAAGCATAAAACATGGGAGGATACCTTTATGTTCTTCAGCCATTTTAAAGATTTTATCTTTCAATAGACTCTTCCTTTATGGGGTTTTGGGGTTTTGGGGTTTTGGGGTTTTGGGG